TAGTAGTAGTAGTAGTAGTAGTAGTAGTAGTAGTAGTAGTAGTAGTAGTAGTAGTAGTAGTAGTAGTAGTAGTAGTAGTAGTAGTAGTAGTAGTAGTAGTAGTATTCCTCCTCCTCTTAGTATTCTCAGTAGTGTGTTATTGTTATTTCCTCCTCCTCCTCCTCCTCCTCGTCCTCCTCCTCCTCCTCCTCCTCCGCCTCATCAGATCCTCATCCTCCTCATATCCTCCTCCTCCTTATATCCTATTCCTCCTCCTCCTCCTCCTCCCCCTCCTCCTCCACCTCCTCCTCCTCGCCCCCTTGTCCCCCTCCCCCCTCGCTCCTCCCCCTCCCACCTCCTCATCGCCTCCTCCCTCTCCCTCCTCAATCCTCCCTCCTCCCTCATCTCCCCCCCTCCTCCTCCTCCTCCCTCCTCCCTCCTCCCTCCGCCCTCCCTCCTCCCTCCTCCCTCCTACCCTCTCTCACTCCTGCTTCCTCCCCCTCCCTCCTCCTCATGCCCCTCCCTCCTTTCCTCCTCCCCCTTCCCCCTCCCTCCGCCCTCCTCCAGCCTCCCTCTTCCTCCCTCCCTCAACTCCCTCTCCTGCCTCAATCCCAATTCCCTCCTGCCCTCTCCCTTGCTCCCCTCTCCCTCCTCCTCTCCCTCCTCCCCTCCTCGCCTCACCTCCCTCCCATCCGCCCCCCCGACCCCCCAGCCTCAATCCGCCCGCCTCCCTCCTCCCCCCTCTTCCCCCCTCCTCCCTCACCCCTCCTCCCTCCTCCCTCCTCCCTCCTCCCTCTTCCATATTCCTCCTCCTCCTCTTCTCATCCTCCTACTCCTCACCTCCTCATCCTCCTCCTCCTCCTTCCTCCTCATAAATCATCATCATCATCCTCATCAGCAGCAGCAGCATCAGCGCAGCATCATCAGCAGCAGCATCATCAGCATCATCATCATCACATCATCCATCAATCATCCTCATCCTCATCCTCATCCCCATCCTCATCCTCATCCTCATCCTCATCATCATCATCATCATCATCATCATCATCATCATCATCATCATCATCATCGTCATCATGATCAGATCCTTATCCTCCTCCTCATCATCATTATCATCATCATCATCATCCTAAAAGATAACTCCTCCCTGTCGCACCCCGAGGCAACTTTATAGGGCGGGCCGGGCGTTTCGCCTGAGACTTCCTCACCAATTCTGACCCTGAAGCTTAAACAATGGCAGTTTCACATATGGAGGGCGGGTGGTTTTCAAAATGTGGTTCTCGCCTTAGCGCCGCGCGGATTCGTTTTGAAAAATGCAAGAGCTTCACGGATTGTGGGCGGCTCTTTTTCAAAATGTGGCTCTCGCCTTAGCGCCGCGCACATTCGCTGTAAAACTGTATGCAAGAGCTTCATGGATTGAGGGCGGGCCGTTTTCAAAATATGGCTCTCGCCTTTAACGCCGCGCACATTAGTTTTCAAGCTTTGTAAAAGTTTCACAGATTGAGGGCGGGTCGTTTTCAAAATGTGGCTCTCGCCTTAGCGCCGCGCACATTATTTCAAAAAAATACAAGTGGTTCAAATATTGGGGCGGTTATGTTTCAAAATGTGGCTCTCGCCTTGGCGCCGCGCACATTCGTTTTCAAATTTGCACGGATTCCCACGATCAACGTACCAGATATTGTATTTTGGAAGGATTCTGGATTACTCGTGTGCAACAGTTGTGTTGGTTCGCGGTGTTGACGTCCAAAAAATGGCGCTCTGTCACGATTCCGGATCGTCAAGACGCAGCAGTCAGGTTGATGCGTGGCGTTGAAATCCCGAAAACAATGTTGTGGCATGCTTCAGGATCTTCAAACGGAGGCAGTTCCCCCGATGGAACCTTTGTGGGGGCCTAGAATCTAGAAGAGGGAGCTTGGAGGGAGGATTAATTCCAACAACATCGTTGATGACCCTTGGTTTTACACTGGTCCTCCTCCTCCTCCTCAGATCCACCTCCTCCTCATATCCTCCTCCTCCTCCTCCTCCTCCTCCTCCTCCTCCTCCTCCTCCTCCTCGCTGCGCCGAGGCCCGGGAGAAAGAACGAGCCCCAGGTAGCCGCTGGCCCAGAGGCGCTCCCAAGGTAGCCTTGAGGCGCTCCCAGGAGGCTCCCAAGTCGACAAGTCAGCGAAGGCGCGTTCTTTCGATACCAAATTCCTGGGGTCCCCGCTCCGTCACCTCATCCTCGCCGCGGCGAGGCCCAGAATGGAGAAAAGAAGACGGGGGGCGGCCCGTACAGGCCTCCATCTCGCGCGCCAGAGCGGCGAGCTGCTCCTCGTAGACCTTGAGAGGCAGGCAGGAGCGCGCGCGCGCGCGGAACGGCCAGAACTGCACGGGGCAGGGGGGGACGACTCCACAACACCACCACCACCACCACCACCACCACCACCAACACCACCACCACCACCTGGATGGCGGAGGCAGAGGGGAGTCATAAGTGGTAGTTAGAAGAATAACCGCTTGCAGAAGAATAGCAGTTCGAAGGTCCGCGCAGACTTTCTTGGATTGGAGCTGGACCCCCCTCCCTGGCGCGCGGAGCGCGCCAGGGGCGGCGCCAGAGGCGCCGCCAGGGGGGGGGGGCTCAGCGCAGATCCAAGAAATCCGCGCGGACCTCCGAGAAAAGCCCTAAAGGGCAAAAGCTGCACGGGGGCTGAATTACGTTGAGAAGGTGACCCTGCGCTCGGCAATACGAAAGAGGCGCCGCCAACGTGCCGTGCCGTGCCGAAAGAAAGTGCGTCATTGAAAAGATGGCTCGTCTTCGAGCAGGGTAGAATACATTTCTTTCTGGGACACACTGACCCAGGTCACTCCAGACCTGGGTCAGTCAGGCGTTGCAAGATCCTGCAAAGTCCTGCAGGATCCTGCAAGATTCTGCGCGCAAACCCGGGTCAATGCAACCCTGGCTCTGCAGGATCCTGCAAAACCCAGCGCTCTGCATGACCCCCCTCTGCATTGACCCCGTCCCAAGGCTCCCGAAAATTGCCGCTCTCGCGGGTGATCCGGCACACCCGCAGGACGTCAATTCCACGTGCATCGTTCGGTTTCGCGCGTGTGTTTTTGATGATGCTCGATGATGCGGGGTGCTCCTCGACGGTCCTCGCCGAGAAAAAATACACTCGTCCGAGCGGTGCCAGGCCCCGGCGGCGGTCGTGGCGCGCCGCCCCACCTCCTGGTGCGGGAAGGGCCTGCCCAGGGCCTCGCTTCGCTAGGCAGGGGACCACCCAAGAGGGAAAGCGAGCGCTCAGGCGACTCCCGCCGTGTCGACGTGGGCGCTGGCCTTCTGGCAACGCATCGACCGCTCAGCGCTGAGCGGTTTCTCCAAATGCAGGAGGGCGAGAGGGCCCGCCCCGATCATGAGCGGCGCGCGCAGAAGAGGGCGTGGGTGCGAGGGGGGTGCGAGGCGGGGAGTTAACAAGACCCACCGCCTGGAAGCCGAAGTCCTGGTGCCCCAGCGGGCGGTGGACATGGATACGTTCTGGCCACCGGGGGCCCGAATACGTCCACCTCCACGGATACGTTCTGGCCCCCGGTGCCCTAATACGTCCACCTCCACGGATACGGTCTGGCCCCCCGGGGGCCGAATACGTCCACCTCCACCGCCTGTGGAGGTTCGCAAACATCGATTCCCCAGGCGGTGGCTCTGGATAAATCCCCGCCTCGGAGGCGGGGGGAGACCGCAAAGGCTCTCGGCCCCCTCGTGCTTCTTGTCTGGCCTCTGGAGTCCCCCCTCGTCGTCGCGGCCGGCCGCAGCTCGAAGAACACTGACCGGTGCTGGTCGCAAATCAAACTGCGTGGCCTGTCCGGAGACTCTGCGACAGGTTGTGACCCTTCCGGGTGAGCTCAGGCAGGAGGCCACATGCGAAACCCTACCCCAGCTGCCCCCTCAGTGGGACTCGCATGTGGCCACCGCTAGGGAGAGCATCCTGGCATAGGTAGGAACAGCACCAGGCGCTGCGGTGCTGCGAGCAGTGATGGCGGCAGCCCAAAGGGTTCCTACAAGTGGCGAGAATCACCCAAGATGGAAGGCGGCGAAGGAGAACAACGCGGGCTAGCGGACATGAGCATGAAGTACAGCAGGTTCACGTCGTGATGACATGTGCAGCGGTCTCTGTCACCGCGTGGCTCGATTAACCTTGAAGTACCGCCCCTTCCCGACAGCGGTGGCGAGCCCAGGGGGATGCAGAGGAGGCGGGGCTTCTCAGAAGGCTCGGAAGGCCTCCAGCCTTCTGAAAACTTGTCTCGGCCTTCTCCGAAGGCACCGAAGGCTTCCCAGAGGGCGCGAAAGCATCTGAGAAGCCCCGCCACCTTCGAGAAAGCCTGCCACCCCATCACTAACCCCATAGGCTCGCCGCCAATTCAGGCAGCTGGTGAAATTCAACCTTGAACACCCACGCCAGCGTCGCCTCTGCGCCAAAGCGGCGCAAAGCTACCGTCCTTAATGAGAGGAGCTGTGAAGGGGGGGGCCTCAGCCTGCGACTTGTAGACGCAAAGGAAGCGCTCGCTCCCGCGCCTCTGCTGGGGACGTCCCACGCGTACAGAGGGCAGGTGCCAGTCCATTCATCATGACTCTCCTGATCCCCCTGCTCCTGCGCCGTCTTCTCGCACTTCTACTCCAAATCTGAACCCCTATCCACACTGCACTCCTGACACTACCTCTCTCCATCCTGCTAGCCGCACTCAGACCCCCACTAGTTAGATTCCCGCCGCGCTTCGACAGTGATACGGACTTACAATGGCCATCAGCTAATAATGTGATACAACCTACGTAATAAAGTCTGCTTAGTAGAAAATCAGCGGTCGACGTAAAATGTCCACTGCTGTCTCAACAAAATACTTCGACCGGGTTACCAAGTGGCTCGTAAGCAACTAGGACCTAGCGGAGTGTTAAGCGTGTATAGTAGGTGGGATAACTGCTCCAAAATCCTCTCTCGTCCTCCTCCTTCTCATTCGACTGCTCCTCCTCCCCCGCACTCTTGCATGCGTTGCATCGTCACTGCTTCTGCTCCACGCTGAGCCATCCAAGTCGTAGCATAGTTACTGCGAAAGTAGCAATGGGCTGGAAGTTCACGCTGAGGTGACTTCGACAAGTGCCTCGAGTGTGGCTGGGTGAAGTACTGAGAAAGGGGTGGTGAGCGGTTACCCATTACCATGTGCTTCGGAGCGGTTACCCGAGGCCGCGGTCCCTTGGAAATTGTGCCAGGTTCGCGCCCCCGAGGCCACAACAATCCCACGCAACTTATTTCAAGCCGCGCCCGCGAGGCCAGAATCCCGTATAACTTACGAAAGATCCGCGCCCCCGAGGCCACGATCCCGCGTAAATTGCGCAAGGTGCGCGCCCCCGAACCACGGTCCCTCGCGAATTACACCACATTCACGCCCCCCCCGTACATGACCCTGAGAGTCGCGCCCCCGAAGGCATGACCCCTGCAAGAATTACGAAACAAAGATTCGTGCCCCCGAGGCCACGACCCCTCGTAGAGTACCCAGGATCCGCGCCCACGCAGCCACGATCACCCCCGAGGCCACGATCCCTTGCAAGTCCCCCGAGGCCACAAGCCCTCGCAAAAATGATGCAAGCTTCGCCTCCCCGAGGCCACACATCTCCCGCAATGAAGGCATCGCAGAGGAAACCGCACTCACGACCCCCAGGCCACAATCCCTTGTAAGGTACGCCCGAATTGCGTCCTCGAGGATCCCTAGTACATTGCACCAGATTCGCGCCCCCGAAACTACAAATCTCAGAACAGACACGACAGATTCGCTCCGCCGAGGCGACAATCCGTTGCAAATTACGCCAGGTTTGCGCCCCCAGGCCCACGATCCCTTGTAAATGGCGTCACGACTACCACCCGTCCTCTCATGAGGTTCCGATATTCCTTCAAGTCGGCTCCCAGACACCCCAACATAGCTTTGACAGATCCCATGATGATAAAGAGGGTACCGGCGGTAGAGGTCAAAGCCATACGGATAAATGGTTAATAAATCCATATAAACGGTTCGGTCGTTCCGACTTAATGGCGCTCTCGCCGCAGCGTCGCTGAGCGGCTAGCGAGTTAAAAGACGCGGTAACTGGGTGACTTAACCATTTCATGTCGATGGGCTCAAAGTGCATGGGACGCTGCGGGGAGGATGTACAACTCCGCAGACCAGGCACACAGGAACCAACTTACAAATGCTGACTAGTTGGCACTGCCATCGTGGTGATTGGTGCGGAGTTCTAAGAGGAGGTGCATTGGAGCACAGCCCTCTCTTCCTCTTCCTCGGTCTCGTCCTGATGACGTGGCTCATGTGCGGTCTGGATCTGCTCCCCCCCCGGCTCATCCTCAAAACCTCACTGCCCTCGTCCTCATGGCCATCTTCCCCTCCTCTTCCTCGTGCTCTTCACCAGATCGCGTTCCTCCTCGTGGGCGTCTCCCTCCTCATTGGCCCCCGCCCCCTCTCCACCCCACCACCCTCCCTTTCAAATCATCGCTTCCTCCCTCTCTCACTCGGGGATCCACTGACCTAGGTCACTCCAGACACAGGTCAGTCAGGCGTTGAAGGATCTTTGCAAGACCCTGCAGGATCCATCAGGGCCCTGCACGCTAACCGGGGTCAAGGCAACCCCGGAGTTGCAGGATCCTGCAAGATACGGCGCTCTGACTGACCCCCGTTTGCATTGGCCCCCGTCTCTTGAGCCCCGACTCACCCTGTCCCCCGTCTTGCCGCCACAACCTTCTACTCACCATCACGTGACGCGACCGCGAGGACCGCAGACTCTGAGAACCAGGCGGCCATCAGGCCGGCCACGCGGGGCCTTAAGGGCAGCATCCCCAAGGCACAGGCCACAGGGCACCGACCACACGGCATGAAGCACAGGGTGCCTATTGTTGGGCACCACAGGCAAGAAGGTGCCAACCAAATGCGAGGCAAAGATATGCCCCTATCCGCCGCCTGCGGAGCCAACGTCGTGGGACCCCAGCAGGCTGCGGATGTGAATCTGCGGCCCCAGGGGGGCCCATATAGATCCATGTCCACCGCCTGCCGAGGTACCCAAACATTGATCCCCCAGGCGCTGGCTGTGTACAAATCCCCGCCTCGGACCGCAGGCCACCATACAACACACACACACACACATGCACACACACACATATATATATATATATATATATATATATATATGTATGCACACGCATACACGCACACGCACACACCGTAGGGCACCAACGCCCGAGCGGCCGACCACGAAGCGTGGGGCACCAGCGCACAGTGCACCAACCACAGGGCGCCGGCGGGCGCACGATGGACCACGACCCGAAGGGTCAGTTTTTTAGAGCACGGATACCACAGCCTCGGTACAATCACTGGTCGGGGAATCCGCCGATCCGGCGTGTGAACTACAAGGAGCCTCGGCAAGAGCTTCAGCTCTGAGCCTAAGCCAGAGCTTCAGCTCTGCTGGGGGGGGTCGCCGGGGTGGCTCTGCCGGGAAAGGGGGAAGGGGGGGGGGGGGGCGGTTCCCCATCTGGCGTTTTCTTAATGATTTGCGCATCCCGAAAATGTTTCGGGGGGTGCAAGGGACCCCCCCCCAAGACTCTACCCTCCGAACCCTCCCCGGATCCCCCCGCCAGGAAGGAGGGGAGGGGGGGGGGCGGTCCCCTATCTGGCGTTTTCTTAATGATTTGCGCATCCCCAAGATGTTTCGGGGGTCCCAGGGATCCCCTCAGATCTAGCCGCTACTGCCCCTGAGACCCTCCCCCTCGGAACCCTCCCCAGACCCCCCCCGGGACCGCTACAGGCACCCCCTCGAGGGCACGTCAGCTCCAAAAACCGTCCCGACGACTCCAAGAGCGCCCTTCCTCCCAAACAGCGTCCCCGACGACTCCAAGATCACCGAATCCGGAGCCCCCAGGATCGGCGGCACTGGCCGGAGGCCATTACAAGATGTCGTGTTCCCCTTGGGCTCCTCCAGCTCAGCATGATTACCCCTCCAACCTCCTCCTCCTCCTCCTCTTCTTCTTATTCTTCTTAGTATTATTATTCTTATTATTATTATTCTTATTATTCTTCTTATTACTCTTATTATTAGTATTATTATTATTGTTATTATTATTATGATTAGTATTATTACTAATCTTATTATTATTCTTATTATTATTACTATTCTTATTCGTCTTCTTCTAATTATTATTAGTCTTCTTGGTATTATTATGATTCTTATGTGCATTATTCTTCTTATTCTTATTATTCGTCTTATTCTTATTATTCTTTTTCGTATTATTATTAGTGTTCTTATTATTATTATTCTTATTAGTCTTAGTATTCTTATTATTCTTCCTATTAGTATTATTAGTGTTATTATGTTTAGTATTATTCTTATTCGTATTCTTCTTCTTCTTATTATTATTGTTCTTACTCGTATTAGTATTATTATTCGTCTTCTTGCTATTCTTATTATTATTATCATTCGTCTTATTATTATTCTTATTATTCTTATTCTTCTTCTTATGATTATTAGTATTATTCTTATTCTTCGTATTATTATTCTTATTATTCGTCTGCTGCTTCTTATTCTTAGTATTATGCTTCTTCTTATTCTGATTATTATTATTATTCGTCTTATTATTATTCGTATTATTATTATTCTTCGTCGTCTTCTTCGTCTTATTCTTATTATTCTTATTATTATTCTTCTTATTATTATTCTTATTATTCGTCTTCTTCTTATTATTATGTTTCTTCTTCTTCTTCCTCCTCCTCCTCCTCCTCCTCCTCCTCCTCCTCCTCCTCCTCCTCCTCCCCCTCATTATTCTCCTCTTGATGCAGCCCCCCACCACCTGTGGTGTCGGGCATTTGCTTTGAATTCGCAACGCGGCGCGTCTCCTCTCTTCTCCCGACTCCCGCTGCCTTCTCCCTCCTCTCCTTGCAGCTGCTGCTGTTGGACGGCCTGCTGTGTGCTTTCCTGCACTTGGTATGCGGTCCCCCGCACATTACGGCACACCCCTCACGCGCACCGCGCTCACACATGGGGAGCTCCACCTACGGTCTCAGGGGGCATCACCGCATGCGGTCCCCAACCTTTTCCGGCACACCCCATAAACGGTGCCCTCGCAAGGAGCTCCACCTACGGTCTCAGTGGGCGTCGCCGCAAGCGGTCATAGGTGGAGCCCTCTGCAGTACTGTATGGGGCACGATCTGCATGAGGGGTGTGCCGAAATCGGAGGGGGATGCTATGCGAGTTCCTGCACTGAGGCCGGAGCCACAGGCGAAGCTCCGCATGAGGCGCGAAACGGGCGAGGGGCGTATCGAAGTGGCGGGGGACCGCATGCGTCGGCGCTCACTGGGACCGCAGGTGAAGCGTGTGCCGCAGTGGGCGTGAGGCCGCATGCCGTGGCACCCACTGGGACACGGTCCACGTGAGGGGTGTGTCGAAATGCGTACGGGACCGCCTCTGGTGACGCCCACTGAGACCGTTTGTGGCCCCCCGATGGGGGCATAGTCCACGTGAAGGGTGTTCTGACATGGGCGGGGGGC